TTTATAAAAAATAATTTTTTTTACATTTTGTCAAATTTCTCGAATACGGACCATTTTAGGAAAGTTTTGTATAGAACAAAAATTATAGATAATTATATTAGAAGTAACTTTTAATTGAAGAATTTTCTTCTCCAAACGTAAATAACAGATATATTCCATAAAATATAAAAATGACCACCTATAAAGTACCCCCCCCCCCAGATGTTCCGACTCTGCCCAAAATCTAATCAGTTCATTAGACGCTGGAATAAAGCTTAAGTTTAAAATTTGGTGTTTTTCTATTTATCGGTTCATGAGTTATGCGACATACAGACACACAGACACACACACACACAGACACACACACACACAGACACACACAGACACAGACACATACCCAGACACAGACACAGACACAGACACAGACACAGACACAGACACAGACACAGACACAGACACAGACACAGACACAGACACAGACACAGACACAGACACAGACACAGACACAGACACAGACACAGACACAGACACAGACACAGACACAGACACAGACACAGACACAGACACAGACACAGACACAGACACAGACACAGACACAGACACAGACACAGACACAGACACAGACACAGACACAGACACAGACACAGACACAGACACAGACACAGACACAGACACAGACACACACACACACACACACACACACACACACACACACACACACACACACACACACACACACACACACACACACACACACACACACACACACACACACACACACATGGAATATGGGGCCATTTTTGTGATTTATACTATTTAATTTTAATCGTAAGCAGGGCCGCCGAGAGCCATGTCGGGCTGCGGAAAAAATTGCGGGACATTTATATAATAATCAAGTCCTTTCTGTGTTAAATTTCTTAAAAATAAAGTCTCAGCTACTAATTTGCCGGTTCCCGGGGATTTTGCCCCCCTACCTCCCTGCCCCCCTCTCGACAGGCCTGATCGTAAGTGACCAACCTATTCTTATATTGTTTCTATTATAATAATTATTGTATTACAGGCCTGAAGATGTCCCTATGAGGCCGAAACTAGTCGCTCTTGTATTTATTTATAATAAAATTGATGTATTGATTTTGAGGTTTTATTCTTTAATTGAAAAAATTAGAACTTTACAGTGATTTTGTTTTATTTCCTGCATCAGGCACATATAAGACGGTACGCATTTTAAAAATAGTAAAAAGATATTTTTTAGTTTCTTTAAAATTAAAAAGTTTGGACAATGTGTGTTCTTACAGAGAACTGATACGCCACTGAACAAAAGGGGTTGTTTACCTTCTCCCTTGTGGCCACTTCCTCACTCTAGTAGTAATTGCTTAGAGATTTCAATAGTCAAAATTGCAAAGGGATCAATTTAGACATTTCCATGATGTGTATTTTATTTATGTAACGAATTTTGAAAATAATTACCACATTTACGGCAATGTTTATCAATTTGGTATATATTTATACCCAAAACAACATTGTTTCGTCTGCATTGTTTACAGGAATCTTATGATTGTATAAAATCAACAATAAACGAAAAACATCGTAAAAAAGATAACGATTCAATAGGGCCTGTCCGTTCCTGTCTTCCAGTGATTTTATTATTACTCATAATTACAAAAGAATTTCGGCTGGCTACAAACACAAACTAAGTATACAATCTTATCAACGCAGCAAGAAAAATAAAGCGAGTCTTGTTGTTAACGTCAATATCCACAACCCGAATTCCCAAGATGCATAATTACGAACCGTCAGCATAATAAATAATACTGTCAAAAACGTTACCATTTTCTCTCGTGACTACCACTTTGGCATTCTGGACGATGACGGAAGTCTCGTTGTTGCTGCTTAGTGTCAAAATCACCTGTTGATCTTCCATGTTGCTTGGAAAAGATCCAAAGGTCGGGCTGCCGGGATTCCGAGACACTACACTTTTATGAACTTTTCTCTTACTGAGCACCCAGGATTTCAGAATCAATCAACAGACAACTCTCTTGACGCACGACGAAGACACCTGTTTAACCGCTGTCGCGATAGAACGAGACAGATTGTTGGACGTATGTCCGTGCTCGTTGGATGAATTGACTTAGTTATCGAAATGCGCAATGACTTTGCTTTTTATCGGTTGATGTGTTTGTTTTGAACGTGGTTTTTTTATCTGAATCTAAAATACTGAAATATTTAATATTGATGGTGGTGTGAATTGACTATAACATATATTTGTTCCTATAAAAAAAACATTTAGCGTTTCATAATAATGATTAGAATCAATCCTACTTTCAGATTTATTTGTACAAGTTTGTGATTATGAATTATCTATTATTTATAAAAGAATTCTAAAAGTGATTTGTACCTCTCTCGTATCTTGTTTATCAAATAAAATAAATACAGAATTTTCTTTCTATTTTAGGTAACCCTTTATTGAGAATTGTGGGTTTAACCAGCTGGTTTTGTAAGAATATCTGACTAACTAGATGGTAGAGGTAATTGATGATGATGATTATGATAATAATGACCTACCGCATATACATGTTATTGTTCTTGAATTTATATTAATGTGAATATGATACAAAAATATGTAGTTAGTTACCGAGATGTCTTCCTACACCTAAATATTTTTGAATTTGTCCTAAAAACCTAAATCGTAGCAGTTTTCTATAAAGCAATACATTAATTACCTAAATTAGAAAGTAATATAAATAATATTAATAGAAGACATTGATTTGTAATGCCAGTAAATTACAATTTTTAACTAGGTAAACAATTACACAAATTTACACGCCTAAAGGATAGGCAGCCAACATTACGCTTTTGTAGTTTGTAAGCAACACATGGAGTAGGTACCTACTTTAATTAAATAATTATTTTATTCAGCATCATAGGGGCAGATAATATTGATCTGTGTGTTAAAAAATGAAATGGATAAATAAGAAAATAAATGTCTTCAACAATTGCTTGTTATAAAATCAGAGGGGGTCTAATTTATAATTCTTTAACATGCTGGTATAGTCATAAAAGAAATGTACCTACACAGTGACGGATTCAGGATTTTAATGAAGCAGAGCGATAAAATTTTTGGTTGATTTGGGATGCAAATAAAATATACCAGATGTCGAAAACACAGTACCTATATAAATTTTTTTTATAACACAATTTCCTGACAGTTCATTTGAGCCTTAAATTTGCCTAAGCTACGCACAGAAGTGGACATCCCTTCGTCTTTTCCTTGTATCCACCATAGAATATATGATAAAAAATGACCCAACTAACATTGATAAAGAACCATCCTGTAGATGGAATTCCATTCAATAAGAAAATCTAAGAAGTCAATTAAAATTGCAATAAAAAAAAATAATAATTTAAAACTAACAAAATTACCCTCTGCTACTCCTCTAGATGTTCCTACTACTCTCCTTCTTATTCCATAGGCATAGTTTCAATTTTCATCTTCTTTATTTATTCTCTCCAGTATACAATTTTACTATTAATTTTTAATTAAATGACTTTTCTTCTTTCATAATTACAAACTTTTTAAAATTATTTCTCCCCGACAATCCCAAAAATGTTTCACTGACAATTCTTACGCTTACAAAAATATAAAAAAAATGACAGCTTTATATATTTTTCAATTGATTTTCTATATATTTTAATATAGTTAAACTAAAATTTTTCTATGCAATTCCACTACCTGGCGATTTTCTATATCAAGTCACCCAAATTTTGTGTTTACATATATTTCTTAAATTTCCAAATATCGTTGGGCATTGGGCTCCCTTATGGTGATCTCCGCTCTTTCCTGTATTAAAATCTCAATTTCCCAGTGTATTCACTAATCTGTAAGCACCTCATCTTGCCTCCCCTTGTATCACATAGTGAAGAGGTGGGAGTCCTATTAGTGCTTCCATTGCAGCTGTGGGGGTTGTTTTCATTGCCCCCGTTATTCCGACGCAGGCAAGTCTTTGTACCTTGCTTAGCCTCGTTATTGCTTTCCTTTGCTGTGTCTTTGGTCACTACACCAAAGCTGCGTATGTTATTATCGGTCTCACCACCATGTTATAAAGCCAATATACCAAGTCTGGTTTTAACCCCCATTTTTTTCCAAAGGATCGCTTTGCCAGGTTTCCGCTCTCCTTGTGGTTTTTTTCTAGATGCTCTCTAGAGTCAATCGTAACCCCGAGATATTTTACCTCCCCCTTGCTTGCACCTCTTAGGTTTAGAGGCCCCAGTCCCTCCAATTTTCTCCTGCGGGTGAATGCAATTATGTCAGATTTGTTTGGGATAATGTTTAGTCACTTTTGTTCTCATTCTTTCCTTTTCTTTCAACTCTCGATTTTTAATTATTTTTCTCCATTCTTCCCTATCTATTCTTATTTAGGTGTCTTCTAAGGCCGCAGTGTCCCGTAAGTAGTCCTATTACGGCCTTGAGTTCGCTTCTGCTGTTTAGCAGTTGATGTTGTCTGCTCGTGGATGGCCCCTCTATTAATTTTTTGGACTGTCTAAGTCCAGGAAGTTCCAATCAGAGCCTATGGTGTTCTTTACTTATTTGTTCCTTTAATACCCATTTAACATGTTAGTATTCACATATATGTGGGTTCCGGTCCAATAAGAGTTTTTTCCGCTCCCTTGCCTGCTAGGAGGTTTGCTTTCTCGTTTCCATACACTCTCTCATGTCCTGGCACCCATTCAAGGGTGACCTTGTTTTATTAATTTTTTTTTTCATCAATTCTTCCCTATCTTCCTTTATAGTATCATCCATTTTCCTACCATTTTTATTCATTTTAAGGAAGAGCAACTGCATCCAATCTTGATTAATAACACTAATACATGAAAATTTGTTAATTATTTAATTACCTATTATACATGAAAAAAATGTTCACTTAAAAAATGGTTAGCGAGTTTTAAATTTAGAATTTATTTAATTATAATTATTTTAACAAAAAATATTACAAATATTAATATTATTCAATTTTTTCTACATCTGCTGAAGATCTTTGCCGTCTCACTTGGGGTACGTACGAATTCTGGATGTTCATTGCAGGAATTTCGACAAAAATGTGCATCAGAAAACCACATATAAAAGAGAGAACAGCATCCATAATGAAAGATTTCATCTATAAAAAAGAATATTGTTAGTGTAAGTACTTGGATTTATATTAGTCATCAATGGGTTCTTTTTTATTATAAAAAAAATCAAAATTGTGTAGAGGTTTACATATACAAACGTTATTCTGTTTTTATTTTTCTTTATAAAAATTGTGTTCTTACCAGAACAAAATCTGACACGTATAATGGTTGCTTAGCCGCTGCGGTTTTATAAAATACTACCCCATAATGGACTATGTAGGTGCTATAAGTTAAATTTCCCAAAATTAGGGCTGGTTTCCATTCGCAAACTTTTTTGATTTTCCCTGAAAAAAAAAAAAAATAATAATAATAATAAGTCAATGTCAAACGACTATATTTTTTTTACCTCCAATGCCTCTGGACATTCCAAATATTCCTATAGCTATGCCTATTGCATACAAAGGTTTTAATATACCACATAAAAGTCCGTTAACAAATCTTGAATAATAAAACGAAGAAATGGTTATTATTAGGAGTGGTAATCCTATGAAAAATATATACCACAGTACTTCAAGTTTCTGAAACACAAAAATAATATCAAAAAAAAATCTAAAAATTACAATACAATGTTTCATTCATTTAATGGAGGCATATTTATCTTGGAGACATATTTATCTTGGAGACATATTTATCTTAGAGCAGTGATTCCCAGAGTGTGCGCCGCGAAATATTGCAAAAGGTTTATGATTACAAAATGCGCCAAACAAAAAAAGCAGCGTTTCAAAATTTGGCATTTGAAAACTATCTAATACGGCAAATGGGTAAATTATCGTTTTTACAAAAGAATCTTGTATCAATAATAACACTTCTATCTACCAAGACGTCACAAGATTCGCTGACATTTCTTGTGACGTTAACAGCCATAAGAGTGATGATGAGGGTCAAAAGGTACCCGTACTTTAGAAATCACCAAAAATATATTTTATATGATTTCGGTGATTTCGCCGAAAAATCGCCCTTAATTTTGTAGAATGACTTTTTTTACTCTTCCCTTGTCTTTGGATCCACAAGCTACTGCATTTATATTTTTGAGCGACGATTTAATTGATTTCGGAAATTTTGAGGAAATTTGTAATGATTTCTTTGAAAATGTACTAGTATTTTGAAAGTGGTTCACCCCTCGGTACTGATAAACTCTGACGAAAACTACAAAAATAAGAAAATGATGTAGCAGAAGATGAAATAATAAACTTCGGAACCAATGTACATATCTTGTGATATTTAAAGGACATTTTATTTCTTTGCCTCTAAATTACCCTTAACTCATACATGTCATTTATTTTTTTTTCTCTTCTGTTTAGTCATACTTTGACTGTAGGTACTTTAGAAATCACCAAAAATATATTTTATATGATTTCGGTGATTTCGCCGAAAAATCGCCCTTAATTTTGTAGAATGACTTTTTTTACTCTTCCCTTGTCTTTGGATCCACAAGCTACTGCATTTATATTTTTGAGCGACGATTTAATTGATTTCGGAAATTTCGAGGAAATTGGTAATGATTTCTTTGAAAATGTACTAGTATTTTGAAAGTGGTTCACCCCTCGGTAATGATAAACTCTGACGAAAACTACAAAAATAAGAAAATGATGTAGCAGAAGATGAAATAATAAACTTCGGAACCAATGTACATATCTTGTGATATTTAAAGGACATTTTATTTCTTTGCCTCTAAATTACCCTTAACTCATACATGTCATTTATTTTTTTTCTCTTCTGTTTAGTCATACTTTGACTGTAGGTAGGGTTGCCACCTGTCCTTTTTTGTCATTTTTTCAAGCAAAATGTCCTTGCGACTCTATAAAGCTTATAATGTCCTTTTTTACAGCATATGTCCTGTTTTACTCTTTGATATCTTTGAAAGGAACAAAAATATACAAGATGCGAAGCAGGACCTTTTTTTTCGAAGTTTAGTAGAAGGATGAGGACTTTTGTATGCCGGAACCCCTATCAGCATCATTGTCCTTTATGCACTTTTCAAAAAGGTGGCAACCCTAACTGTAGGCTGTAGGGCATAATGGAAAAAATTTATTTTAAAAAATGCGCGGCAACTCGAAAAATTCTGGGAACCACTGTCTTGGAGAATAATACAATGCTTACATATCTCAAGCTTTGATTATATCTTTAATTACCTACCTTACTGATATTAATTTGATATTTTCTGGATTTAAAATAAATATATCCGAACAACAATCCTAACATGAAGGTAGCCATATTGGCGTATGTTGACGAATATATGGCATTGAATTTGAAAGATCTAAATTTGTTGTTCTTCGCGTTTCTGAAAAAAAAAATATTCAAAATTTTCATTATTATTATTATTATAATATATAATTGTTTAAATTTTACTAATAGCTACTTGTGTGACCAGTTACGAAATGCCTTATTTTGTGTAATGAGTGACTATTTGCGGGACGAGCCACTGGAGTGGGGGAATCAGAACCCCTCATGGAACGCCTTCGCGTCTTCGGTGCTTAACCGGCGCAGATCTCTATTAGCGGTTGAAACACTTCTCAAATTATGAATCTCAACAGCTTTGAACTGATGACACAGTTTCAGACATTGATTATAAAAAGAGGTTACCGCTGCACTACCGGCTGCAGGTTAACTTAGTTTTTGGAACTGCGATTGATGGATTGATGTGAAAATTTGACTGTTATTGTTTGAATGGAATTCTATTTTCTATTTTACATTTCACCACGCTATAATATGATTGCTGTTTACTATGGCATAGTATGGAGGTAATATGAGCAAGTTGTAAACCAATATTTTAGAAAATCCTTTGGTGTGGTATACAATAAAAAAAATATATATATATAATCAATAAAATTAACAGACAAATACTAGAACTAGGCGTTCTTAACGCTATACACTGACGAAGGCTGATTCCAAAATTAGCACTAACCTCGCGTCAATTCTGCATTGTCAATAACTTCATATTGAAACTCATTGGTTAACATTTTGTCATGATGCTGTATCTAGGGTTTATGAGAACTAATAACCCTCCATGGCAAATGGGACGAGCGGAGCGAGGTCACACAAAATGGCATTTCGCAACTTGTTATTGTTTGTCACTTTATACCTATGTCAAAATTAGAAAGAACTTATTTGCAATTGTAATTAAACACTTACTCTGGTGTGATTCTAAATATAATATCCAAATTGTAGCTGTACGATATAATCACGGGTATTAGTATCCCCAAAATAACGAAAGTCGATAAAATATATTTGGTATTTTTTCGATTCCTCCATATCAATGACAAAATTATTAATGATAGTAAATACAGTTGTGTATCAGCAGCTAAATACCATGTGGTGAAGTAACACTACAAAAACAAGTACAATAAAATTATATATAAACAAAATAAATAAAAAACGAAAATACAAATCCTCAAAATCAGTACTACACAAAAATATTTTATTAAAAATTATTTGTTAACATAGGCTATACAAAAATATGAATAATCTTAATCAAACTTATTAAGAAAAGGTAATCAATGGTTGCAGGTACTGGGAAAATTAGTTAATTAAGTCTTCCTAAAAGTGTAGTTATAACAGGAAAAGGTAAAGTAAAAATTTTTATCAGATCAGGAAAGGAGAAGTCAAAACGTGGATCTTGTGACCAACTTGGTGACGTTGGCAAGGCAGTTAACATAGAGGGTCCAGCAAAGGTTAACATAAAAGCTTCAGTGACCCTTAGTATGCAAAAACTTGACTTAGAATATTGATAAATTGTGAAAAAAAAAAAAATAATAACTTCCTGATGTCCCAAGTAATGACTCGAGCAATCGGGTACGAGAAACAAATAAGGCACTTCTTGTAGCAGATGAAGAAAAGGATAAAACTGATCACTATGGGGGCCTTTACAAGCGCTGACCCTTGTTGGGAATGTAGTTGGAGATATGATCTTTATTCAACGAAGTCCGTACCCATGTTAGGATCACAACTATTAAAGTACACAAAGATTATGTAACCCTGTATATGGCTTATATGGGCGATTGCATTTAAATAACCGTAGGAAGGCAGGACAACAAAGAAAACTGAAGGAAACTTTGAAATAAGAAGAAAGCAACTTACCTAGGGTAATAAGTAACTTTAAAATTATAAAATATTAAAATATCAACAGTTATTCATTATTTATTATTTATTTGTTATTAGGTTTTTAAACGTGCGTCCCTCAAATCCTTCTACATACATATACATTTAATCAAAAAAAAAAAAAAAAAATTTAGGTGGGTGTAAAAACGAAAAGAAAAGACAAATTTTGACCGATTTCCCTTTAAATCCTTAAGCTATGCTTTATGTTTACCTTGTTTGTATATTAGTAATGACATATCGGTGATACCGCTTATATTTAATTCCTACAAGCTATTTTTCAAGTAGCAAATTAGCTTGACCGTCTTATTTTAAAAAAAGAAGAGGAGAAAAATTGGAAAACACGGTGTATTCAACTATTTAACTGAGAAACATACCATATCATGGTGATTATAGTGGTTATTAATAAACAACAAAGAAGTCCACCAATTTTTCTGACACCTCTGGTATTCCAAATCGGCGTACAAATCTTTGATGGGACCACTGAATAAATTCACCACCCATACGGTACTGCCTAATAAAATCATGACTAATACTGGCGGTACAATTCTAAAAAGAAAAAAGACGTTACTCTACAGTATAGACGATTTTTCTCTCCAATAAGATACTATTTGTATCCCACAAGGATCCTTGTTGGGATATAATTATGTCATGTGAGGTATACACATAGGAAACATATATGAATTTATAAATAAAGCTGAAAATTACCTTAAATATCTGTTGAAAAATGTTAACCAAATCGTTTTTAAATCGAATTTTCCACCGTTTTCCATTATTTGAAAAAAATGATAAGACATTAAAAAAGCCGAGAATAAAAAAAATGTCTGAACCAAAAATACCATCAAATTCCTAAGTCCTAATTTAAAAGGATTTTGTGGAATCTAAAAATAAATGTATTATAAATATTAAAAAAAAAACGTAGAAATATTAAAAAAGAAGAAAATGTACTTACATTTTCTATGTATTCTGTGTTCATTACGTATCCCCCTACATAACTACAATATGTATGACAAAAAATGATTAAGAGCATATTATAAAATCGTATCCCTTGCATACATTTCAATTTTTGAAAATCGGATTTTGGATTGACGTTTTTTAACTTTTGGAAATTCCTTATTAAGGAAAAATATTTAATACATTTATTATCTGGAATAAAAAGAGAAACGCTTGTAAAAATTAGATCTAAAATATTTACCTATGCAGAATGTTCCACATATGAAAAAAAATTTTAACATGAATCAAAAACACTTTTGTATTCAAAGTATACCCAGTGTTAATATTAAAAAACATTATTTTTTAGGTAATAAAAGGTTTATATACTATACAATTTTTGTAGAAAAGCAAATGCTCGATCCAAAAAACGTTGAATTTTAATTTTGAACAGGACCATATTTATTATAGAGTTTCTATTAAATCTAATTATACTGAATCCTTATAGCTCCACCACTGATTACTCTGGGACTCGATATATATCCGAAATATGGCTATGTTGCATGTACCATTGTATTTAAATAGCCTAGTAGAACAACCTTACGCACGTTTCATTGGAGGTACTCCGGTCGCGACATCTGTTGGAACAAGTACAGAACTTAGCCCGTGCGTTAGCGCTCCCTCGATTATTGAGTGTGAATTTCAAAATACATAAAGTTTTCTTTATTTTTAAATTCATGTGGGTAGATTGCAAAATTTAAATTAATAGTGTTATATTATTGACAAGGGGGGTAGCCATGTGTGAGTTGAGGTAATTTTAAGGTGAAGGGTGAGAAAAAGTCCTTTATATCTCACAAGGAAAGTCAATGTTTAATTATTTAACAAAACATTGAGTGCGACCGATTTCGAAGTGTCATCACTTCATCTTCAGGCTCGCCTAGTGGAAAGGAGAATATGTGGTGTAAGGTGTGTTAACTTGGAAACAAAACGATATATAAAATAATAAAAAAGAGAAAACTCACCATACTCTCCATCCACTAGGGAATACTACAAAAACAAGTTTCATCAATTTTGGGTTGAAATAAATTTACATACACTTGGTGATTGGTTCATGGCCCAAATCTTATATAATAGATAATAAATAATTCTTCACTCATAGTTTACATCTTATTAACTATACCCTGTCATAAGTTTACCCAAGAATTTTTTCGTTATAATACTTACCACCACCTGTAGAGGCCTTAACTTGACAGGTCTCCTTTCAAAAAATTTTAGTTTTTTAAAAAACAACAATGTTTAAAATAGGCCTTATCTTTTAATCTGTTTAATGTATGTGATTTGTTTTTGTATAGTCTTGAATATTTTAAATTTTTACTATAATTGACTAATATTTGTTTTTTCAAATATTTTTAACTTTTTATTACGTGTAAATCGGTTCATTTTACAATTTATTTCAACCCAAAATTGATGAAACTTGTTTAACTTGTTTTTGTAGTATTCCCTAGTGGATGGAGAGTATGGTGAGTTTTCTCTTTTTTATTATTTTATATATCGTTCTGTTTCCAAGTTAACACACCTTACACCACATATTCTCCTTTCCACTAGGCGAGCCTGAAGATGAAGTGATGACACTTCGAAACCGGTCGCACTCAATGTTTTGTTAAACAATTAAACATTGACTTTCCTTGTGAGATATAAAGGACTTTTTCTCACCCTTGAAAAAAAAAAAAAAAAAATTATATTATCTAAAATGATGATAAATCGTAAATAAATTAACATCGAAAATAACAAAACTTGTATATCTGTAGGGACGCCACTGGTTACGTGACGCTTTTACAGAGCGATTAAACCTTCCTAACTACCCAGACAGCACAAATAGGTCCATTGGACGTCCATTTAGAGTTACTACCTGTCCTTTTTTGCACAGGACAGTCCATTTTTGAAGCAAAATGTCCTTTTTACGGCAAATGTCCTCTTTTTCTATAATAAATGTCTTTTTTGACTTAAAGCACATATTTTTGGAAGGGATATGGTTTGAATAAGTGAGGACCTTTTTTTAGAAGCATGGCATGACGAGGAGGCTTTTTGGATTTCTTTCGTTTAGCTCGACGAACTTTTTTTAGAAGCTCACTAAAAGGATGAGGACTTTTGTATACCAGAGCCTCTGTCAGCATCGTAGTCCTTTTATCACTATTCAAAAAGGTGGCAACCCTACGTCCATTTGACATACAATTTTGGATGTCTGGACGTCCAAAGATGAGTTTTTTCTGGACTTCCGACGTCCAATGAACGTCCAGTGAAGTATAAAAATGGCAGGCTCTTGACCGTTCATAGGACGTCCAATTCTGGATTATATTTGGACGTTCAATACTAGACATTCAAAGAAGGTCCATCCCTGGATTATTTCATTGAGAGCATAACCCTACTTTTTTTACACAACCGCAACTCACCACACACTATTTTATAATATTAATAATTTATTTATTATTTTTTTATTATTAAAAATCACTTGACCAGAGCAGGTATCGAACTCACGACACGTCTAAATTTCTGGGCATTCAAGCGCCAAGCGACTTCGACCAACAAGTAACTTGAAAAATTCCTACTAGATACGGTTATAATAGAATAAAATTTCAAACTTCCGCTGATATAATGAAATTTAATAAATTTAATTTGTCAATTTTTAATGACCCATTCTATTAAAAATATAAAAATATATATAGATGGGTATTATCTGGTAGGCTAAATAAATAATGAACTAAGATGGACGCCCAAAATAATACTAAACTTAAAAGTAAGTCCAAAATCAGACGTCTTCTGGACATAGACATGCAACTGTCAAATTAATGATCATAAACGGGCGTACACTAGATATCCGAATACGGATATGGACGTTCTGGTCCTCAAATGGATCTAAAGTGAACGTCCATTGGACTCTGTGTGTTGTCTGGGTAATTTAACATATAATGGAATATTTCTCCATAGAGTGTAGATCCAATATTTTAGGTAATGTGTCAAAACACAAAGACAATAAAATGGGACGGCACTGTCTGTATGACAAATAGTTTATACGTCCAAAACGGGTTACAAATACATTTTTTTCTACTATCACTATCCAAAGTAACCTTTTGCGCTTCGAAATCACATACTTTGATTACTCAAAGTATGTGTTCGAAATACAAAGTTGACGTTTTCCACGAACTGACACCTCTGTCGCTCGCCGAGCGGAAAACTTGATAGCTTTGTTGTACGTTCGCTATTAAGTTTCCACAACCGTTTGATAGTTCGGTAGAAGACGACAAAATTATCAAAGACAAGTCATGTCTTTGATAATTGACACGACGGAGCTTGTTATCATCTATTGCTACTGATCACATACTTTGATTACTATACGGGGCAAGAAAGAGGTCCGACACGCCCAACATAGGGCGCGGCCACATACTTTGATTACTATACAAGGCAAGAGAGAGGCCCGACACGCCCAACATAGGGCGCGACCATTTTGAACCCTGTGACACAGTTTACAGCTTAAGAATCAGATCGCTCACTCTGCGTCGGCACTTTTGATCTCAATGTTTCAGTTTATACACTGTGCAACTCGGATAATACAATATATGACAACCGCCTATAATTTAATAAAACAGCAGTCTTCTGCGTATCCTGAATTTGTATCCCTGGAGTGGATGTTATTTTGGAACTTTCAACTGGTCCGAGTGAGCTAACTGATTCTTTAGCAATAAACTGTGACTTCAAAAATAATATTCACTGACACTGACAGCAGCAAGCAAAATATCAGGTGCGTTTTAATCATCCGCTTCTGCTTCCGGAATTGTCGGTTTAGTCGTTTTAACCTGTCAGATTAAAACAAGAAAACCGATAATTCCGAAGCAGAAGCGGATGATTAAAACGCACCTATTAAAAATATTGCGCCAAGATGTAGGCAATACGTATTAAGGGTTCAAAATGGCTGAGTTTTCTATCTCCTTTTAAAAGGCACTCAGAAAGCTGCGCAGTGCGACCATTCTCCATATAGTAAAAGAAAATAAAAGTATGTGCTACTGACCATTATCTTCCAAGATAATTTGCATTGGGATTGTTTTACTAGGCTGAATACAACGTATATGTACCAAATTTCATTTACATATCTTCATAAATGTGGAGTATATTAAAAAAATATTCTATATTTTATGGAAAAACTTATCCCAAAACGAAATAGGATTTATGTCTAGATGTAAGAACTTTTTTAGTTCATAATGAGCTCTAAAAGTTTTAGGCACTTTTTACAGAAATCCCTGTATAAGCAAATATATTTTAATTACTATGAAAAGTCCCAATCACACAAAAAAATGGATAGAGTTGAAATTTCAAAAAGAAAACAACTAGAGGCTAATTCTGAATGAAGGAGCTGACACTTTCTATAGTAATTTACCACTACACCTTTTTACATACCATTACCATTGCCATTTTTATAGTCCCTGTATGTTGTCCAAAACACAAAGCTTGTATAAACAATGATAATTATCCTAAAAAGTAAAGAATTAATGTTGTTCATTAGCAAAAACATTATAATAATTTTTTATATATTTTAATTACTTTAATGCCTTAATGTTTTTATTAAATTTAATTAAATAAATTATGAAATACAGATTTTCATTAAGTCATAGAATAATAAATATATTTTATTGGCCAAGGGAATGTGAATATTACAACTGAGTGGATCCACAATACACTATACAGGGTGGCTAGACGAAAACGTATCCACCAGAGCCATTATCATGAACTGTGTCAAAGTTCAGGCAATTTTTTATTAAAATCTCAACTGTCATACGTACGAAAATAGAGAAAGTACGAATTATATCACATCATTAAAACAGTATCCCTATTCCTGAAGTGGCGTTGGGAAATAGTAAAAAGGCCTACACAGAACACACATAAATAAAAATCAACACAAAACTAAGACTGACATGTTAGGTATATACACCTAAGCCCTAAAACGAAAAAAATATATATGCAATCTAATAATAAACATTTAACAGTAAAAAATAATGTTATCTAAGGTAATTACTAATGGATACCAAAACGTTGTTATATCTAAGTTATGATTTAGTTTTATAAATAGATTATTATTTATATATTTAAAAAGAATAATAGGCATAAACATTTTAAAATTACTTCTTTCAAAATGACATTACATCACAAATATGTCGCAATACATTAATATTAAACTTAGATTTTCTATAAAAAGTAGCTGTAAATATACCTAAATTCTCTGACGAAAAAAACAACTTTTAATTTAATATAGATTTTGTGACGAAGTCACTAAAATTTACTATCTTTTGTTTAAAATAATGTTTTACTTCAAGTTTTCTTTCTTAAAAAAATCCCATTTGATGACATTTGCGAGAACCCCCGTAGTTTAGAATATATTATTATTTGCCGAAATCCTATCATGTATCATGTAAATTTTCTGGGTATATTCCGCAAATATCAGAAGAGCATTTTGTGTTTCCTCAACAAGAAAACATTAAATCTATAGGTGGTATCTCCCACTCCAAACAACTCGTAATCCGAACCAGTCCGATCGTGAAGTATAAATCCAAGAGCCCTAACGAGCTCTTTCTCTTTTGCTGCCCTTCTTTTGTATCGAATTAATATTTTTGCTTAAGTAACGAGAGTTTTTCTGTTCCTAGACACCGAAGATAGGTATTCAAAGTAGGAATCAATCATTAATATTTTTACTTTTTTGGTAGCACCGATATCTTTATTTCATTTTCCTGGGCATCGACCTCCAATAAACAGTTATTTTAAAGTTAAAGGAAGTTGCCATGTGTGAGTTATATTAAAAAATTTAAGTAATTTAACCTTTAGGTGTATTTTTCAACGTTTCAATTACATAATTATACCAAATTTTTATAACTTTGGGTGTTAGATACTTACTTTGTTTAAAATGTTAGCGCAGTTCTTGGATACGTTTTCGTGGAGCCACCCTTTATTATTCTTTATAAAAATATATTACGTATGCTTTAAATAAATAAATAAATACCCCTATAATATCAACCAAGACCATTGTATGAATAATATGCATTTACGCATTTTGTTTTGAAATTACAACTTTTGTTTCAAATGTTATAAATCCTATATTAAAGTTTACAAAAATAAAAACTTACATCCAAATTATATCTAGAGCTCCTGGTTTGTATTTTTCATCGAAATTTCCACAATTTAAATAAGTAATATCTGCCGACAATCCTAAGTAACTGAATTTATCCGTATAACATTCGGAAATTGCTTTTTTTAAGGTTTTTACATCGCTAAATTCATATTTTGGGCAAAAATCTTGAATACAAATGGCGTGGAATAACTCGTCGTGATTATATGATCTTCTATCATTAATTGATAGCTGAAAAATCATATTTTAACTGTAATAGGTCTATAGTTCAAGAAAAGTTCCCCTTATTATTAACTTATTGTTACAAAGAACTATATAATTTACTTTTTTCTACTATTTTTTTCATAAAAAACGTCTGTTCTATTCTAATGAGAGAAAATTTGAATAGTTGCTTGAATATAATAAATTTATTTAAAAAATGTTTAAATCAGAAATAATGAAGTGCAATAAAACTACCAAAACAATAAATTAATTCCGTATTTAAGAATGAATGTGTATATTTTTACCTGTATCAGCTTCCAGTGATGGGAAATATTTCTACCAGAAGGTCTAAGATTAATATTCGTTTTGCAAAATAACTTATCTTCATTTTTACACTTCTCAAAGTCATCGATATGGAAAATAGGAGGTAGAGTATCATAAATATTTTCTGGAAGAGAAACATATTTGAGAAAATCAAGCATATAATAAATATTTGGTTAGATGGCAAATCCAGATATGTCAGAAAAGGTAAAAAGTAAGAAATATATGTTTTATTTTGTCCACTTCCAAATACTGAAAATATGTCTTAATAATATCTGGTTTTAAACATGTATAATATATTCATACAGAAAAGATATTAATACATCGTTTTTCCGACCTACAAAAGTGCATACATAAAACACAGGTAGTTGGTATGAAGATATATGTTAAAATGACCTAATGGACATTTATATTTTTCTTTCTAACCACAGAAATAATATTTATTAAAAAAATACTTACCTTTAGTTTGGGCATAACACAACACAACATTTACTACATTCAAAACTAATACATAATAGAAAAACAGCATTTTTTGTGTTAAACCTTTCTATCTACTTTTATTTCAAGAATGACACGTTAACAAATTTTTAATCAAAGTTGAATTTGCTTGCAATATTTGTGTAAACATTTTTTATTTAGTACATCTGCTTATTAATATTTTGCATCCAATCGTATTTTTTTATTGTTAGAAATTAAATAAAAAATTATTTTTATAAATATTTACCTAAAATGCTAATTTCTATTTTTTTTTTAATTTTTACATTTTATCCGTATTTAAACATTTTCTCCGCAAATGTGTCCAGGGGTCCTAGGAATGAAGTAGGGGTTGTAAAAAACATATATTCAACTTAAAATAATCTAAAAAAAATTCAAGTGGGCATGCTTCGATTTCAAAATAAAGACGCTCTTAATACTGCCTAAAACTATAACCAATAACTCCCTAATAAGTGTTTGACTTTTCCTAATCCACTAATTTTCTATATACTTTTACTTAATTGATAATCATACAACATATTATACTTGATTGACTAATATAGCTTAATTTTATTGAGCTGTCAAATTTTAAAAATGTCGCTTTTCGATGATTTTTTTTAAATTCGTGATATAATCTAGTGAAAACAACTCTTGGTATTGGAACTAATTGATATTCGCATTAGGTAATGTACGGAAATTGAGGTAGGATACATCACATTTCGTGAAATAAATAAATTTTTTGTACATTTCCAATAGTACCTGTATCTGTAACGTGTGGAAGCACTTAGGTCTTACTAGGCCCATTGTGCATCCTCCAAAGTAGATAGGCACCTCCTAGCTCGTGAGACAGCTTGCAGATTTAATGTAGTTGATTGACTAGGTTGCCAAGAGGTGCTCCTCTTATATCGGCCGTAGAGGATATATAACAAAAATATATTTAAACTTTCAGTAAACATAATAATCATTTATGTAACTCTTGTTTTTGTTAGTTGAATGCCATGTACACTTAATTTGTATATGTACCAAGTTTGTTGATTTTTTTATTTTTTAGGTTCAATAAAGATCCAGTGGAATTAAGCAAATGAAACTCAAGCCATTGATACAATAAAATATTGGTTGGTTAAGGCCAAAGAAAGAATTTGTAATAAATATAAGAACAAGTATGAAATTTTTAAAATAAAGATTTAAAAAATGGTAACAACTTTCATTATATACACTTAACACTTATTCTTTAATGTTCAATATTAATAAAACATCCTGTATTAGGGTGACTATTATATGCTTAGCATATGCTATATTTAAATACTTAGCATATACTTAGAACGTACTATCAAATTAAAGTAGATACCATACTGTACACATACTTGAAGTATATTCTCAGAATCTGCATAGCACATACAAAAACAACCTCACGTAACATATGCTTTGTATATTCTGAGAATGTACTAAATGCAAATAAAGTATATTCTCAGCACATGCGTATTCTTAAAAGCATATACTAAGAATGTATAATTGTTATCTGGGAAGCTAAGTCAATGCATAAGCCAAGACTGAAAGAAAAATAAAAAAACACAATAGTAATAATTATATATTAAAAAAATTATAATAATATTAACAATAATACTCTTCTTCTAGTGCTACGTTAAAATGTCTACCTTCTAATATTCATATTTGCTTCTCGGCCTCAATACTCCCTTGGGTAAGCTTTTGGGACTACCAGGTGGAGTATAATCAGGATCAGGAATGTAAGGCATGTTGGAATTTGTTTGTGGGTATGCGTAGTGGGAGTGGGGTACCACAGGCGAAGCTACTTGTTGTGGTGGTGTTCTTCTGCCTCCTGATTTTCCTATATAAACATAGTACTCTCCTCATATAAGAATTACAAGATAATAGATTAAAGAGCTGATAAATGTATATCTTTAAAATAAAAATATTTTATATTATGTTAAAAAAGCGACACCACTTTTGCAAGTTTGAATATTTAGACATTAATTGTGTCCAAATCAGTATTTCTAAACCTAATGAAAAAAGGTAATCCAACCAAATCATTTTGTTGGGCAGCGACAAAGTATAATATAACAAGACATTGATCTGGCTCAACATTTGGATATCCGAGAACCTCCTGAAAGTAACAAAAAACACCACCGGTGCCGGGCCTTCATTTGAGCCCGGGGCCCGGGAATTAGTCCCGGCTGCCCCCCCTCTAGTCAGCCCTGAGTCGAGTTGCTGCAGGCAAAGGTGACACTGTTACTTTCAGGTCAGTTAAGAAGCAAAAGAGATTGAATTTCTCAATGAAAGAATTACATCAAAATTTTATCAAGACCCATAATATCAAAGTAAGTTATTCTCTGTTCTGCGCATGTCGTCCTTTCTGGGTTTTGATACCTAAATCCAGCCTCAGAGAGACCTGTCTCTGTATAAAACATGAAAATTTTAGACTGGTGTTCACAAAAATGAAACTGTTGAAGTTCTTTAATTACAGTCAACCCGAGGACTTAATCAAAAGTTTATGTTGCGAAAATAAAATGGAAGAGAGTTGTTTAGAAAAAAGATGTGACAAAGTGACAACTGTTATCAAAAAAAAGTTACTTGGAACGAAATTAATAAAAAGGAATCTGCTGTTTATAAAAAATGGATACTAGTTAGTGAAGAAATAATTGTTAAAGGCATTAAGAAGACATGCAAAAAGTACATGAAGAAAGACGTTATTTGTAACAAAGAAAAAATGATGGAAGCTCTTCAGCATGATCTTCCAAAGTATATGCAACACATTACAAACATAAGACATCAATATCAGTTTATCGACACCTTAAAAGATTCATTAGAAAAACAAGTTTGCAGTTTATCTGAGAATACCCGTCATGATCACATTGGAATTTTTGCTCATCTTCAACCTTTATTTCAACAAATTTCGGAAAAGTTGATAACCATTAATAAGGTGCATTTTCTCAGTGACGAACCGACGACTCAATATCGTAACAAAAACATATTTTTTGTTTTTGCTTGCAAGTTCGTAGATATATTGAAACCTTCAATCATGACTTGAAACTTTTCTGAAGCAGGTCATGGAAAGAGAGCTCCAGACGGTATTGGTGGAGTGATAAAACGTATTGCTGCTCAATTAGTGGCCTTAGGAGAAGATATTCCTGATCTTAGTTTCAAATCGTTGCTCTGGAATTCAGTTACAAGTTGTCACTGAAGACTCTTTTCAAAAAATTGAGAGCAAATGCTCAGTTCCAAATGAAATAACTTGGAATGCAAATAAATCTAATACCGTATTATTCAGAATACTTGGCTTCTTGCATTGTACGAGCTCAGAAATTTGTTCTCACTACCACTTAGGTGAAATGGTTGTGCCTATCAGATCCGAAAGAATCAGATACAGCGAAGTATATAGTTCCAGCTCTGATGGAGGTTCTTCTTTCACTGAGGAAAAGCACGATTTTAGTTCTACTGTTAGTGATGAGATTCAAGATGATAAAATATGGGAAACGCACGACTTTGTCATAAAATATAGATTTTCCTTTTTTCCAAGTCAGATAAGAGACTCAGGTGCAGTGGTTAGTTGTATGGAAAAATATGGACGTCTGTGCACTTCTTGGAAATGGCCTGTATACGAAGACTGTCTGTGGTACAAATTTAGTGATAATGTAAAAAAGATTAATCCTCCTAACCTTAAAACTAGAAATATTTATTCAGTTCCGTCCATGGCTGAATATATTCACTGAAAACTGACGATGATATTAGATGTGACCGAAATAAGGTCTAGATTATTAATTTAGGTTTTTTTAAAAGAATTTTTTATTTTGTTTTTGATACTTTTATAATAAAATATTTTCAAATTTGTATGCTGTCATCAACTCCGTGGACACCAAATCATTACCATGGTCTTACAATTTTTAATTTTCTTAAAAAAGTGCTTTAAAATAAGAAACGAGCTTTTGACCACATAGCGCACAATGATTCGTTACATGTCTAGAGTAAAAAAATGTTATTCTAAAATGACAAGCGTCCTGCCGTTTTTCACTTGCGAATTGTCCCATTTTGGTGGAATCACCCATATAACTCATTTAAAAATAGGAAATTTGTACATGCGAATTTTATTAGTCCTGAATATGATCCGGCTTAGAGCCCAAGTGGTGTTATTTTTAATTACATGTACCTTATGGGAAATAATTACCTAACAGCATCTTCATATTATATGTTGCAACAACGTCCATCAAAATTTATGAGCCTGATAAAGTTTGACAAATTGTGGTCTATCTAAATGTATGAACTTCAAATTATTCCGTTTAAAAATCTGTTAAGGTTTATCAGCCTACTTTTGCGAACGTTCTTGCAACAAACTGTAAATATTTTGTTCCTAACATACCTATTTTAGCCAGTTTACCATTAGCGTGCGCTTGTGGTATATGCATCGGCTTGTTTATGTCTGCTATGTAAGATGGAGTTTGTCCGTATACCAAACTGCTTCTAGTACTGTTGCTCAATGGATTTATACTGTTATTGTTGTTGTTGTTGTTGTTATATGCGTCGTCCGATCTAATAGGATTGAAGATGTTGTGTTCGTCTAGTACGAAACCTTCGTTTTGAAATGATTTGTCGATTTCTACCTGGTCGTACATGCTGAACGGCCGGTTACTAAGAAAAAAAGAAAAATTAATTTTGAAACTAATTTAGAGGTCAGCTATATAACTTAAAACTTCTTTAAATAATACTTTTTAACAAATAATGAATGTTAGATTCCAACTTACTCAGTTTCATAAGCATTAATAATACCTCTTTGCATCAATGATGGACGAGTCTGGAAAATATGATAAAAAATGAGCTATCCCATTTTTAAATTGTAAATAGATAGAATTCTTACAATTTTTCTATGCTTGCAGGCAGCAATCAATAAACACACTGCAAAAACCACATTTACAATCCACAGAATGTAACCTCTGGCTGCCAAAGACATAACAATACCAACAGATGTGGATAAATCTTTTCCTGAGAATACCTAAAAATACATTTTTCATAACTTTCGTTGTGATAAACAAATACAGGTTTTGAAGAGGAACCACTTTCAATTTGTCTAAATTTGTTCAAAACTATTAGATCCTTTATTACAGTGTAGATAACTAGTTACTTTATTTCATAATTTAAAGTTTTAACAGCTTCATATTTTCTAAACTAGCATAGTACGACGTAGTAGTAAACCTTGATTTACTTACCGCAGGAGATGAAACAGGCAAAACTCTAGCCCCGATCTCAGGCATTTTATTTTCAAACCTGTCGGTAGTATTTAAACCAGACATGGTTTTGGGATCAGATGTTGCAATTATAGGAGTTGTTCTAGGATCGGATAGGATATAAAATAATTTCATGTTATTGAAGTGTGTAGTAATAGATGTATGTCTAGTAGTTCGTTTAGTAGTAGTTTTACGTGTACTCTCAGTAGAACTATTATTTGGTGTAGTCACAGAAGGATCTGTAGAGGAATATGTACTAGTGTTGGATGTACTTGTTTTACGTGTACTCTCAGTAGAACTACTATTTGGTGTAGTTGACGTATCTGTAGATGAATGTCTAGTAGTAGTTTTACGTGTACTCTCAGTAGAACTATTATTTGGTGTAGTCGCAGTGATGTCAGAAGAAGTTGTTTCACTAGAACTATCAGTACTAATATCAGAAGTTGTTTCAACAGTAGACGTAGTATCTATAGAGGAATTTGTACTGGTCTCAGATGTCGGTGAATTACTAGAGCTATCTCCAGAATCTGTTGTTACAACACTAGAACTATCAGTACTAATTTCAGAAGTCGTTTCAACGGTCGATGAAGGATCTGTAGAGGAATGTGTACTAGTGTTGGATGTACTTGTTTTACGTGTACTCTCAGTAGAACTACTATTTGGTGTAGTTGACGTATCTGTAGATGAATGTCTAGTAGTTCGTTTAGTAGTAGTTTTACGTGTACTCTCAGTAGAACTATTATTTGGTGTAGTCGCAGTGATGTCAGAAGAAGTTTTTCCACTAGAACTATCAGTACTAATATCAGAAGTTGTTTCAACAGTAGACGTAGTATCTATAGAGGAATTTGTACTGGTCTCAGATGTCGGTGAATTACTAGAGCTATCTCCAGAATCTGTTGTTACAACACTAGAACTATCAGTACTAATTTCAGAAGTCGTTTCAACGGTTGATGAAGGATCTGTAGAGGAATATGTACTAGTGTTGGATGTACTTGTTTTACGTGTACTCTCAGTAGAACTACTATTTGGTGTAGTTGACGTATCTGTAGATGAATGTCTAGTAGTTCGTTTAGTAGTAGTTTTACGTGTACTCTCAGTAGAACTATTATTTGGTGTAGTCGCAGTGATGTCAGAAGAAGTTTTTCCACTAGAACTATCAGTACTAATATCAGAAGTTGTTTCAACAGTAGACGTAGTATCTATAGAGGAATTTGTACTGGTCTCAGATGTCGGTGAATTACTAGAGCCATATCCAGAATCTGTTGTTACAACACTAGAACTATCAGTACTAATTTCAGAAGTCGTTTCAACGGTCGATGAAGGATCTGTAGAGGAATGTGTACTAGTGTTGGATGTACTTGTTTTATGTGTACTCTCAGTAGAACTACTATTTGGTGTAGTTGACGTATCTGTAGATGAATGTCTAGTAGTTCGTTTAGTAGTAGTTTTACGTGTACTCTCAGTAGAACTATTATTTGGTGTAGTCGTAGTGATGTCAGAAGAAGTTTTACTACTAGAATTATCAGTACTAGTATCAGAAGTATCTGTTGATGTAGAGTCAGAAGTTGTATGAATGCTAGTATTGTCAGTAATAACGTCTGAAGTTGTAGTTGTGGGGCCAAAGGACGTTGATTCTTCAGTAGAAGTTTCAGATGTGGAAACAGATCCAGAAGAGGAAGTAGTGGCAGCTGAAGTCGGAGAAAAACTGCTAGTAGGATAATTTGAAGTAGACGTAGATATATCTGGATTTATAGTACTTCCAGTAGTAAAGGGAGAAAGAGGGTTAGTTGTTCTTGGAGATAAAGTAGAAGTCGTATAAGGACTTGAAGACGGAACCTATAAACATTAAAAATTATTGTAAAATTTTTGTTTAGAAAAATTAATGTGACACGTGTGAATCTGTTCAGTGTAAATTTTTAGGTAAAGGAGTTCAGTGCATGTCTGTTATTGAGTATTTGGATTTATCGTATGGATTGTAAGTGTAATTGTTTGGTAATGTGTGGATATAAGTATTTGAAAGAAATATATTTTTTGGCGAACATAAAATTACATGCAGGTAAGAATCGTGTCTGTATGACAGAAAAATAAAAAATAATTAATTATGTCACTATTCCACTGTGGCAACTGGACAATTTTGCTGTTATTAGATTTACAAAAACCAAAAAGTGATCCAATATTTTCCCAGATCTTTTCACTATGTAGAAAACCTAACGCGTATTAATATAAATAAAAATAAATATGCTCATATATATATTTATAAATAAACATACTGTATCAGGTGTGGTTGTATCAGGTGTGGTTGGTTCTGGCGTAGATGGAGGCCATCCCAAATTGTGAGCCGTCTTCAGATCTACCGCCAATACACTCATGAATGATACGTCGATGGCAGCTATCATTATGGTTATAACTGACCAACACAGCAGCATTTCTGATATATTGTACCATTTTTTCCGAAAAATCGCTAAAATTTAATACTATTTAGATATTGTGGACGGCGTTTCGGCAAATAAGAAATTAATTAGATCATTAATCTATATTAAGAACACTACTGGTCCCGCTATAGACCCTTGAGGAACACAGGTTTTTTAGTTTTATGGGCTTATGTGCACGAAACCCTTATTGTCTGTTAAGAATGAGTTATTAAATTTAAGATTTTTATGGAGCTCGATTTAGATGTTTTTTTTTTTTTCATGACTTGAATGATAATAATATATTTATTAATGACAGACTAAATAAGACGATCCGAAAAACAAAAAAATATATATATATATATATATATATATATATATATATATATATATATATATATAAAACTAGAAAATACACGAAAACAAAAAATCCAAGCAGGCCACGAAGCATATTATAAATATAAGGACATAATAAAGAGTAAGAAGATAAGAGACGAAACTGAAAGTATATGATCAGTAGTAATCTCGTAGGATAAAGATGAAACTAGACTGAAACTTTTTATAGGAAAAATAATTAAGTTAATAGTAGGACCAAAGAAACTAGATGAGGAGTACAAACACCAGCGGATCCAAAGGGACAATGGCTTTTGAACCCAGAAATAGTTCTGGATGTACCTCAGAGTACAGAAGGCTTATAAATAAGGAAATAAATGTTATATTAAAAAAAGAAGACGAAAAAGAAGAGGACGAAGAAGAAAAATAAACAAAAAGAAGATTTTCTAAAAATAAAAAGAAAATTAAATAAATCCATAATTAAAAAGGCAATAATATGGCAACCACAGAACAAGAGATCTAGGAGACGACCGCAAATTCTTTGGGAAGACCAAATAATAATAAAATGATAAGATGGGGATTGATAGATGGGGAATTAGGAAGAGAAAGGAATAGAAAAGAATAACTGAAACTGCGACAAAACACGAAATGAGAATGCAATAGAAGTATGACAGTGACTAAATGGTATACTTAACAAGAGTCAAAAATGCTCCAAGACCGGCTAAAATTAGGCAAGGAATGTACAACCACATATAATAATGACAGACTAAACCCTTGATAATGCAAGGTGTCCGACTGGGTGACTTATAGATGATTATCTTGCTGCGTTTCTTAAAAAAATGTGTGGAAACTCGAAATCCTATTATAAACCAGTAGGATTAGATTTGTATCGATTTCTCAGAATATAACTCATGAGCACAGTTATAATATTATCTGTAATATTAAAAAAAATGTTTGTTTTAATCTTTATGAACATTTAATCTTTATGTTTAAATATATAAAAGTCTATAATTATCATTAAATTTAGACTTAATTTTATCAGATGAGATATCGAACAGAAAACTATGAGATCACATTGTTTTAAATTACTCGTTGATTAAAGATTATGACCACAAGTTCGTTCTTTAGTAAACATGGGAACATGCAAAAATTAAAAAAAAAAATGATACATAAAAATCGGTATGGATAAATGACACGAAAATGTATGTAAATTCGAAATCAGCGATATGGAATACAGAAAAAAGAGGAAAATATCTAGAGGAATGGATACGTTCCCAGGATCTGCAGAGGGATTATCATCTTTCAATATGGCACGTATCTATCTTAGTTCGACAAAATGCAATTCTTATGTAATGTCTCTCTATTCGTTACGTATGTGTGTCGAGTTCGCACATAAGAATCCCTGACCAGATCGTTAGTACTGAAGAAAGTACTACTACCTTGGTACTTGTCCACAAAGAAGATCAATAGCTAGAATGTAATGTGGACAGAATCACTATGTCTGCACGTATATATCCTCTTCCAAATCAACAAGAAAGGAGAAAAGTCGATAGTACCTTAGGCAAATGATTCCTGGATCGAAATATGTTTAAAATAGCACTAAAAATGAACCACGCCCATGAAAAAACTATCGAAATCCTAGTCAAAAATCTAAATAACGCAAAAAGAACAATTATTATAAGACCACCAACAAGAAATACTTATGCGTAACCGCTCTGATAAAATGAGACTAATAATGCCAGTAAACAGGAGGATCCGATTCAAAAAATAGAGGAAGATTATAAGGAAATGAAAAAACAATTTAATATGGAAGTAAGAAATGTGAAGACCAGTCAATGAAGAGAACTCTGCGTGTCTTTGCAGGAAGACATCTGGGGCGGGGCCAGAGCTATAAACTGAAACACCTCATATAAGATTGAGAGTTCAAGAAATTAGAAAAAGACCAAACTTAACAAAGTTTTCTGACCAATAATTATAGGATATCCATAATAGACTTAAAAAGGTTGAGGTGAGGGTCACAGTCCTAACCAAATCAAATCTCATCTAAAGACAATCACAAATTATGAAGTTAATCACACATTATACCTAAAGACAATCACACATTATGAAGACAATAAATTTACTCACCCCAAATTATATAGAGCGATATAACTAACCATAGAAAACTAAAAACTATATACAAGTACATGATGATATTAAATAATTTTGAATTTATTATTAAGTCTTCTAAATAAATTCCGGGATCTAAAAATAGAAAATAAGAAAGGGTGAATAAAATAAATGACTTAGTACTATGATAGAACAATAAGTACTTACGTAAATATAAATTGTAGATGACATTTCCATAGCTCGTTGGAGACAAAGAATTACTGAGTTCGATGATGTCATTGTAATAAAGGATTGAAGTTAGAGCAAGTAAGAGCCATACTACCGATTGTATCTAAAAAAAAATAACAGCAATTTAAAAAATATAGAAAAATGCCACATGTTAAATTTTTAATCTTCATATAACATATGTGTTTTATAACAGGGTGTTTTCACTCGAATTTAAATATTGCCATAGAAATTATTCTGCCTTAAGATATTCAATTATTTTTTCATCATTTAATTTTGTCTATCCTATGTCCATTTGTTTGCAAAATAAGTTATTGACATAATATCCTATTTAATTCTAACTTATGTAATACTAGCCAATGTCCTAAGAAGTCGCAGGGGGATAAATATTGCTTAAAATTAATTGTCTTCGTTATAGAGCAATAAAACTTTCAAATGCGTGATACTCGAAAATAATATAAAAGGACCTAAGGTAGCATTCTTCTCAACCGAAGATTTTACCATTTGGATTCTATTACTTATATAACTTCGTAGAAGTTCTAAACACTTTCTTCTTCTCTTCGAGAGTTTCTAAGAGTAGGATGTGACTAACTACAAAAACAAGGCATTATTTTCTCCAAAGCAGTATGGATTTTGTTTGTTAAATATTAAATAGCATCTTCACTTGAATTTTTTTTTTTAATTTAAACTCTCTTAGTAATAGGAATCTAAACCTATTGACAAACAATATCTTTCTTTTTCAGATTCACCTTATATTGAAATAATATTTCTATTATTTGATCCATTTAAGTCGTTGATCACGTCTTACAGCTGTTTAGAATCATTAGAATCATTTCAATTTTCTGTTAGTAATAATTGGCTTTTGATTTAGCAATTAAGCTAATTAACGGTTTTAATTTTTATTTTGTTTTTTGATTATTTTTATCTTTACTTCTTTCTTTATTTCTATCTTTATTTCTGTTCTACTTCTATCTTTATTTCTTTCTATTTTTATTTCTATTTTTTTCTATCTTTATTTTAATCTTTATTTCTATCTTAATTTCTATGTTTATTTCTATGTTTATTTCTATGTTTATTTCTCTTTATTTCTATCTTTTTTGTGTGTGTCATCGGTTTCAACTGCTATGTTTATTTCGCCTCGAGTTCTGTGTAGGCTTTGTTATTGTTTCCCAGCACCACTTTGGGAACAGCACTGTTAATTAGAACCCAACAGTGAATGGTCCAGTGGGGAATCCTACCAAGGCATCAGAATTAATTTTAAATAATTAAATTAAATGAAAAAAATCCCGGCCAACGGTGGGATTCGAACCTGGGACCTTTGGATCCGCAGGCAGAGACTCTACCACTGAGCCACCCACCCCGCATTTCTATCTTTATTTTAATCTTTATTTCTATCTTTATTTCTATCTTTATTTCTATGTTTATTTCTATGTTTATTTCTATCTTTATTTCTATCTTTATTTCTATCTTTATTTCTATCTTTATTTCTATCTTTATTTCTATCTGTATTTCTATCTGTATTTCTATCTTTGTCTATCTTTATTTCTAACTTTTTTTTGAAATGGGTGTAAAATCGGTACCAAAAGTCGAAAAGTGGTATAATTACTCTCAAAATATTTGTATGGCTCTCAAGTAAAAATATTGCCCTTGCAAGAACTTTTTATTTAGTAGTTTTACCCTGTTCGCTATAAATTAGACTATTTTGAGGTTTGACTGCTTCCAAAATGTTATTACGACTCTCAACTAAAAATATTGCCGGGCATTTTTTTATTTAACAGTTTTATCCCATTCAGTCATTTATTCACCCCGAGTTTTCATGAAAAACGTGTCAAAATAGCCCAATTTTATGGTGAATGCGGTAAAACTACTGAATAAAAGTGCTTTCAAGGGCAATACTCTTAGTTGAGAATCAGACAAACATTTTAAAAGCATGGGCGCCGTTCAAAAAAAATTATAGGCAGGGTCAAAATGCCGAAGGCTATAGTCGAAAGCCATAGCGCAAAAATTCAAAATAACAAATCCAGGGGGGACAGACCCCCCTTGCCTTCGTGTGGCGGCGCCCATGTTTGAGAGCAATTAAACCACTATACGACGTTTGGTTCAGATTTTGTCATTTTAAGGTTACAATTATTGTTACAAAGGGATTTTTTATTGTTATAGACGTCTAGAAGCCAGCAAAAAATGAAAAATCTATCGATAAGCAACTTTTACTTTGAATTTGACAAATCAAACGGATATAGTACATGTTGTCCCACAACTACAGTTAACGTATGTACATTTAAGGCTGAAATACTCTGTTGAATGTTTACTTTTGTTCCTTTGTTCTTTCGCTATAAAGTTTTAAGATCATCATTATCATTATCGACTATTATTGATTAATTTTTGCAATTTTAGGAATCGTAATCTATTTAAAGCCTATCAGATTATTGAAATCAACTTTTAATATTCTATATCTGCTTGTAAGTAGCTTCGATTACTCGGATATTTTAAAAAAATTTTGTTTTTATGAAAAACTTTGTGTGCGGTGTGACGTCAATTAAAATTTTACAATTATTATTACGAGTATTTACCCATTATTAAAATTGAAGAAAGGAATCTATTTTAACAATTATCATATATTTGCTTATAGAACAATTACCTATTTAATTTTTTAACTACATTACCAGTATCATCAGCTGATATTAAAATACGCGGGAAAGCTAAAAGAATATATAAATGATTTTCAAAAATCCAATGCATACAACAGAACTATTTTTCGGTAATTTCGAAACATTTTGTACACCAGTAACTCGTTACACTTTTTTTGGGACTTACAGTTCCAATCAGAGCAGCGGGTAAACTCAAACACTTGATAGTCTCGTTGACCGAATCACCAGCCATTTTAACCACCAAACTTAACACCTACATAACTTTCGTATTCCCTGTGAGAGATCTGGTCGACTTTTGCAGCTAGATTATTGTTTTATTTCTATCGCTGATAAGATGATTATGGTACACAGAACAATGATCGGTTGCGCAAATAACCCTGCATGAATTTTATTATCTGCGATAAGCATCTTTTGTGATTAATAAGCTAATCGGAATTTCTGGTGGTATCATCTTTTCATCTAATCTACGAATTTTGGTGTTTATTTCGTAAATATGAGGTGAATGAAATGGGTATTGCTGAAAATAATGTTTTTATAGTCTAGAGAAATAAGGAGTGCAGTAATTTAATTTGCAGAAGGTAGTACAGGTTCAAGAGGTAGACATTTTATTTATACCTCATCCTGCAATGCTTATTTGTAGTTAAAATGAAAATTTTAATAAATCTGATCGGCCTAATAAAAGTTTTCGCAAAATTGCGCAAAAAAGTCAGAAAGAGAACGAAAAGTATATTTTTCAGAAAAACTTGGATGGAAGTTAAAATAATAGAGAATCTGCATACAATGAGAACAAATATCAAACCAGAAAATGCCACTGGAAAACACTAGATGCATTAGAAATACAACATTATATCGGATTTAAGATACTTAAATGTCCTTGATGGAAATGAGCGTATGATGGATCGAAAGGTTGCCAAAAACCACTATGGACTGTTCAGCAGAGTTAACTTCATAGTGACATAATTTCTAGTGCAATAGAGGAAATAAGGAGACATTTAAATGTCAGTTTTCAAGTTAGCAACATCTTCAGCTTGTGAGAGCTAGGTATTCTGTTAAAAATTTTAATGTTTTTTAGAAAATAATAAATTGCTAGGTATCTTTTTTTAAACGATATTCTAGGTATATGAAATATAAATATCATTAAAAATCAAACTTTTTTCACCCCAATCTGAAATAATCCTCATAACAAAAACTGGAACTCAATTATCTGATGTTTCTTCGTACATATCTATAAGTGTATTCTCCTCCATCTCAAAATTGCTCGATAAGCTAATATTGCAAGGCCTCCATCGTACTCTCAATGTATTTAATCGCTCCCTGAGCCACACTCGACAACTCAACAATGCCTCATAATGTATAAAGTAGCCAAAAACGTCCCTAGTGGGGTTAAGCTTATGTTTGTTATCTGGATCCATACTGCCCTGCTAAGCTGTTATAATTAAAACTACCTTTTGAAAATAGGCTTTAATAAGCAAAATTGAGCATGACAAAATTGACAGTGATTAACATTAACATAGATACAATAAACAAGAATACATAGGGTAGTACGATAAGAAAATACACCACATTCTCCACAGATTCATTTTTGAACATAATCTTCAAGATATTTTGGTGGTTGCCTTATTCTTGTACTTCGCTGAGTAAGGGTCTCTTTAGTTAGATCGGAATCAGATGCACTTTCGTCGAAATTTTGACTATATTGAGGTTCAATAAGATCTTTTGTTTCAGGATGATTTTGGTGAGCTATTTCAAGACGTTTTTCTTTTTCTACTGGACGATTTTGGGTATTAGTTTGTTAAAGTTGATGATCTGGTAAATTTTGAGAATCCAAAAGAGAATTATCTCTAATTTGAGAATCAAAAAGAGAAATATCTCCACGGGGTGCTATATGCTTTAATGATACTGTGACTTCTCTTCCATCAATGTGACGAACACGCGCATATTCAGGGTTGGCTTCAATTAGTTCAACTTCCTCAACGGATGGGTCATATTTCAAATATTTGACGATTTCCTCGTATGATGAAACATTCGTTCGTGAGGTGTACAATTCGTAGCAGTACAAAGAAGAGAACGTATTGAATGAAGAGCCTCTTCTAATACTTGTTCCCACATTTGGATTTTTAAATTTTGTGATCTTGAAGCAAAGTGTTTTCCAAATAATTCCCTTGAAACGTTCGGTTTGTCAATTTCCTTCAGGATTATACGGAGTAGACCTGCTGGTGGCTATTCCTTTAGATTGTAAATACGTTTTTATCTCATATGACATGAATGACGAACCTTGATCGGAGTGAATATACCCGGGAATTCCAAATAAAGAGAATAATTACTAAGACATTGTATTACAGTAACTGATGTCATATCGGGACAAGGATAAGCAAATGGAAAACGAGAGAATTCATCGACGATTGTGAGGATATATTTGTTTTTAGTATTTGTAAGGAGCGGGCCTTTAAAATCCAAAGAAATTCTTTCAAACGTAGAAGTAGCTTTTGTAAGTGTTCCGTGATATTTAAAAAAAATTGGTTTAAATTCTGCACACACTGAACAAGCGGCCCTCATAGAACGAACGTCTTCCACTGAATAGGGCATATTTCGAGACCTTATTCAGTGTGTCATTCTTGTAACACCAGGATGGCACAAAGCTTGGTGCAAATCAAATAAAGTTTTATCTCTGCTTGAGCCACAAACTCGAGTGAGCGTATCAGGTACTACATTTTGTCCTCCGGGTATATATACTATATCGTAGCTTTAACAGGACAGTTCCAAACGCCATCTAATAATCTTTTCATTCTTAATCTTGCTAAGGTGTCGCATATTGAACATAAACGTCATATCTGACAAAATATCAGTTTTTGAGTTAAAGGCATATTTGTGATGCAGACATGCAAAAACGTCCCAACTACAACATAAAGCACTTGTTTCTTACATTCAGTTTCGTCCTAATATTTACATAGTGGACAATATGAAAACAAAATCGTTAATATCTCAAAACTTTCCTCATGTCAGGTAGGACGCTTCTGCTTAGCAGGAGCAGCATATTTTCGGTAGATCAATTCCAGTCTCTTAGGTAATACCCTTTTTAATATCCCTCCACTTATTACCCACCGCTGTTTGTTTACAGCTCATGGAGGGCAAACCAATGAGATTTGGTTTGAAGAAGATATCGAATAGCTACAACAGTCTAAAATTCAAAATGTTCAACGTCTGAAGGCGTTCTCGCATTTTAGAATTGGCAACGGTGTTTAACTTTATTTATTCCAAAACTATTACACGTCTGTTTTAATACTTAATTAATGTGTACATTATCAAAGCATATTTGTATTTATCAATGACTGTATCTTATCTTAATACAAGCATTGAAATGGGAGCAAGTAATACACAAATAAGAAGATAACATTTTTTATTTACAAAAAAGAACGGTGAACGAAATAAAAATCTAGAAGCCTTTTCACAAATTTAATTTATAACTAACTCCTAGACTTGTTAAGTCAAATATAAATTTTTTTTGTTAAAAAAATGATCTCTCAGCTGTAACTAAAGAAACTGATTTTGTTTTCATAGTTGTTTACAGAACCAAAATTAATCTTAATCAATTCGAAAATACCAGCTCAAATCTTCAATGAACAAATGAAATAGTGATGTCAAGCATTCCAGGAAACAATGATTGATACACCTGTAAGGTAGTATCGCGTTAGTCATGCCTCTCGGTATTTGTTAAAAGATGAGAATTCGGATGTTTGAATATGGGTGGATTGGGGAAGAAAGATCGTGTGTGTAGATGAGGTATAGGAGAGGGGCTAGGTCTATGCCCTGTGGTACTCCTGCTTGAGGGAAAATGAGTCAAATAGGGCGTTGTCTACTTACTGTGATGGTTATGTTTAAGAGGAGTGAATGAGCTTGGTGATGTTGACTGAGAGGCCTATGTTCATGAGTTTCTTAATTAGTCAGCATGCCAGACTTGATCCAAAGCTTTTTGACAGGCTGAGGAGAATTGTTTTGAATTGAATTGGTGTGGAGTGAAGTGAGGGCGTCCTGAGTGAAGTGGTGAGGTCTAAAACCATGTTGGGATTAAGGTATGACATTTCTTCACAAAATTCCCAGATTCTCTCGTTGATCAAAAGTTCAAGGAGTTTACTCAGTATAGGTATGAGAGAAATTGGACGGTGTGAGTCTATGGATTTGTGGTCCTTGCTTGGTATAGCAGCTTGAATTGTGTTTGAGGAATTCCAGGGAAGTGGAAAGTAGGATTGGGAGAGACAGGCATTCAGGAGAATGATTAGAATGGGAAACATGGTTTCAGGAAGATTTTTAAGCGTTCTTCTGTTGATGGAGTCCGGCAAAAGTACCGTGTTTTGATCCAATAGATAGGCATATTGGTTGTCTTGGTGGGTGAAGGGGGTGGTGAGTGGGTTTTTGACATCCAATGTAGGGGTAGGAGCAGCTAGTGTTTGATGGAGGATTTGTTCGGTCTGGTTTTGGAATTGTTCGTCAAAGTAGGGGTTGTCTGAGGTTCTGAAGATGGTTTTGAGGTGGAACTTGTGGATTGAGGCTTGACTATATTACGAATATAATATATAATAATCATTATAACAAATTAAGTCCCTTTAGTGGCCTTTAGGTCCAAAAGGGGTTGGTCAAAATTTGATCAAGGTCATCCAATTTTTAACAGACTTAAAATAATAGCCATTTATAGCTTTCTGCAAATAACGCGTCAATAATTAAAAAACAAATATTAAAAAAGTGCCTAGTAAACGAACCAAATATTTTAATATGGGAGGTTTTAGGGTTTTTTGTCAAATATTTTTTTTTTGAGACAGACACTTTGAATTTGTATAACAGTTAAACTTTTTTTAAATTAGTTACACGTAGTTTAGTTAACTTTTTAACAAGAATAAATGTATTGTTCATACAAAATGCAATGAAGAAAACCAATTTACCTGGATCAGTTAAACATTCATCTTATTGGTGCTTTTCAGACCTTTGCATTCATCTGAAACTTTTACACAGTTTAATGTACCAAATAAACAACCTAAATATCCCAAGTCATTTTTTAACTATTCCAGATAATAATTTTCAGATAAATTGTTTTGCTGAGGGTATTTCCTCAGTGAATGAAACATGTCTATTTCCTCAGCATTAGACTGGGATCTACTCCTTTGATTGTTCATAAAAAAAATCACAATCTAAGTTTAACCCCACGTTAACGAACATTTTACGGTAGTTAGCTAATACTCT